TGATCGCGGAGGGCTTTTCTAACCGAGCGACTCTGTGTGATTCTGTGAAAGAAACTGAATGTGCCAGGGTGTGTGAAGGGTGAGCGTGGGCACAGAGCTGGGCTGAGCAGAGCAGGGAAAGGGACACGGTGACATCTCCATGGATGAGCGAGCCCAAAACCCATAGAATCATGGATTTACTGAGGCTGGAAGAGACCTCCGAGATCATCCAGTCCAACCCCACCATGGCCACTAAACCACGTCCCCAAGTGCCACAGCCACCACTTCCTGAACCTCTAAAAAAGGGGCTCCAGCTCTCCCCTGGCCAGCCCCTGCCAGGCCCTGAGAACCCTTTGGGGAAGAAACTTCCCCCAAAATCCAATCTCCCCCTCCCCTGGCACAACTCGAGGCCATTTCCTCTGATCCCATCGCTTGTTATGGGGAGCAGAGACCGAATCCCCCTCACTACCCCCTCCTTTAGGAGCTGCAGAGGGGATGAGGTCTCCCCTCAGCTCCTCTGCTCCACTTGAACCCCCAGCTCCCTCATTGCTCCCCATCATCCGGCTGCTCCAGACCCCTCCCCAGCTCCCCTGCCCTTCTCTGCCCACGCTCCAGCCCCTCAAAGTCCTTCTGGGAGTGAGGATCCATGGTTAAACCTTTTCAGGGGATCTGTGGATGGAGTCTGGAAGGGCCCTGGTAGGGGTCTCTCTCCTGTGCCATTGCCCTGAGCCAGGACCAGCTCAGCTGAAACCACCACTGAGAGACCTCAGGGAAATCCGTCTGTGGTGGTGACTCCAGGCCCACGCCAACCTGCTCCCCAACTTCACTGCCCTCCTCTTGCCCGACCGCAGGTTCCCTTCCTTCCTGTTCAGCCCATGACTCTCGGTCTCAGCCCCGCAGCCCGGTGATTCCCATCTCTCCGCAGCATCTTTCTGCTCTGCTGCAGGACATTTTCCTCTCCCCAAGGCCGTCTCCTGCTTTCGCTCTGCGCCACGGCATCTCAGCTGCATCACATCATCTCTGAGGTTGGTTCTTGCTGTCCCCAGCTGCCACACAACTTTCAGTTTCCAATGCGAAAACGTTGTTGTCTGGTTAAAGCTTGTTTGCTCTGAAGGCCGTAAGAACTATTCCACTAGATCAAGCTAAAGATCCCTCCCTCCTGCCGTCCTGCCTTGAAGAGTGACTATTAATGGCCATTTAGGAAGGCAATTTACAGTTTTTCCTTCCCTTGGCACACGTCCCAGCACTCAGCACTCAATTTAGAGGCTTTCTGAACAGGAAGCCATCGTGTTTAATAGAAATCAATGGATCTCTCGCCCATGGATTTGTCTAATACCTTTTTGAACCTATATGTACTTTAGGCTCCCACAATATCCAGCGGTGACGAGCCCCATAATTCTTTCAAAAAGGACTTTTAAATTTGTTTAAGATCTTCCGCCTGCTATTTTTCAGGGTGTGTTCGGGAGATCCCAGTTCACGCCGCGCTAGAAAAGATGAACAATCACCCCACATGTACCTTCTCCTCCCCATTCATTACCTCACCCACCTCTCCTGTATTGCTCTATTGTCTCTTCTCGAGGCTGAAGAGACCTTTTCCGATAATCTCCACCTCCTCGGGAGCTTCCCTGAAGTGCCCAGAATCTTGGACTGTATGATCAACGTGATGATTGCAGGCCCCTTCCAACTGGACTAGTCTGGTCTACCCTGCCCTACTGTACCCTACCCTTACCCTATCCTACCCTTACCCTACTCTACCCTTACCCTACTCTACCCTTACCCTACTCTACCCTTACCCTACTCTACCCTTACCCTACCCTACCCTTACCCTACCCTAC